TCTTCAGAGGTTGTGGGTGCTCCAACACTGGAGATTTTTAAGAAGAGATTGGACAGCAATTTGTCTGAAATGGCATAGGATCTCCTGCTTGAGCAATGGGTTGGACTAAAGACACAGACCCTTCCAGCTCTGTTATTTTGTAAGACCTCAAATCTCCAGTATTTGAAAGAGCTAATAATATTCATTCATTCATTCATTCACTTTCTATATGTACAGTGGGTGCCACCTCCACTTGTTATTAATTTGTTTCTGCATTGATTTCAGGATTTTAGCTTTGGCAGAAAGCCAACTAAAGAAGCAACTACTCTAGTCTGAATCTATGCTGGAACCATATCCAGCTTCTAAACCACTTCTTCCACTCTATATGATGAAAAATGAAGAGGACCTTTTGCAAGGTAGCATCTAGATTATGATATCCTCTTCAAATAATTGGTGCCCCCTCCAGCAGCATCGCTATCTGATTAGGATTTATTATTTTCTTGCATAACAGGTTGATCTTTAATATACCATTGTGAATTACTTTTCTTTATTGTAAATAAAGATTCTATTGATTGTATTTTGGCAGGGGGAAAATGCCAGTTGTCATGAACACAACCTGGAGAGCATTATGTGCCTTCAGTTCCACAAATAAACCATGTTGGTGAAAGCAAGACGATGTCCTTTGAGTCTATTGTCTTTTCCTTGAGAAATAAAGATGGTAATTTGATACTTGTAAAGATGTACTTATACACTATTGGAAATTAATTGTGTACAGTTGTATTTATGGAGCCCCAGAGATCAATATTGAGGTATTGGGTAGCTTATTTTGTTTGCTACTTGAGTCACGCAGGATTGCATGGCAAGATAATTAGTGTTATGTTATCCAACCATCCACTGATTCTGCACCCGTCGCGTTCATGAACGGTTCTGTGCCATAGAGAGAATTTCTCATCCTGGGGAAATAATACATTTCAAGCATTCCTAATGTTACTATGGTTCTCCTTCTGTGTTTTTGCAGATAGATAGCTTGCCATCAACACCCCAGGTTCTGTAGCTACCCCTGCCTTTCTACCCAGTGAGGATTTGGAACAATGCTACCTTTTGTTCTTCTCTTATTTGCCTCTGGGCCTACAAATATTAGCTCAATGAGCTTCCTCTGCTGAGCTCAATTCTCACCAATATTCTCATTATCAAAGTCCATAGGGGGTACATGCCAGATGCCGGAAGCCACTCCTGTTCTTTTGTTCGTTTGTTTCAGTGGTTAACTCTGCTTTTCTTCTGACATTGTGTAGGATCCCTGGTGGGTTTTCCACAAACAATGTCTACACTGTCTTGGCTTTTACTTAATTGAAAATGAACTTACTTTGCAAATAGTTAAGGATGATTGTTATTGGCCTCTCTGGCCACATTAGGGAAATCACACCACCTGGTTTGCTCTACAGTGTCAGATTTAAAGCAGAACATGGGTCAAAATGTAAAGCTTTTACTGGATAAGTGATTACAGGTTGCTTGCCCTCAAGAGTCTATTTCTGGATGCTACAGGCAAAGACACACCTCCCACTTTCTCTCTCTCCTGGTTTCCTTCTTTTGTCTTCTTACTTTTGTCTTTCTCTCACCAACTAAAATACCTTTCACTTTTTCTCTCCCTCCATTTTTTTTCTCGTACAAATCAGCCAAACTGATTTATTTTGAAGAATTCTGAGATGTGATTTAGATCAAAGCCATGGTTATTCTCGGCATTTTAGTTTCTCCAAAGGATTTCTAGACTCTAGAGGGGTGAAAAAGAAGTGGGGCAGAAAAGGACTACTACTGCTAAATAAATTTCTCTTTTTAGAAGCTGTAGGGAACTGAAGCAGGGCCTCCAGAGGCTTTGGACAGATGTCATGTCCTAGCAGCATGACTCCATTGGATCTGCACATCAGATAGGTGAAATGTTACTTGACTAATGTAAAATTTTTACAGAAATAAAAGGTTTACCTGTATAAACCAAGCTATATTGCAAAATGAAACTAAGGAGAATGTAGACCTAATTAAACCTCAATGTTTCACTTGAGCAAGTATGACACCAGCTAACGAGTATCCTGAGAGTGGGAATTAACAAACATAGTAGCCTGGTACTGTTATTTGGCATGGAATCAGAGCAAAACAATGCAGAAAGCACTTCTTGGGCAAGTAAACCAATAATAGCAAATCAAGCTATCCAGCTTTCTCAAACTATATGTCCGTGCTCCAAGCAATGCTGAAGCACACTGCTAATAATTACTCACCATTGAAAGACAAGCTCTTTTAGAGTTTTAGTTAATAAGAAAAGTGTTGAAAGGAAGTACTCACTTTACACCTTACTTAAATTTAAAGTAACTTGTTCTATTGCATAAAAGCTGTTACCCAAAAGTACATGGATATTTTGGTTAAACAGTAGCATACATAACAGTTCTTTGCTTCAAGCTCATAGTACATAATGGAAGGATTGGATAATATGCATCAAAAGCATATGAATATTTTCATATTACTATTTCATATTACTATTTAAACAGAAGAGTGACTAGTACATGATATGAGTTTGAGTGGCATTTCATCAATGGAGTTCATTTCAATGACCTTGTTCACATGCCTTTAACAGCCATTTTATTTAAATAAGAAACTCACAGTTTGAATAGCCTCCAAAAGCCTCTACAAAAGTGGCTGTTGAATTGTTCTTTTAGGAGAAAATTATGTGATGCATGGCAGTAATCAGAGTAACCATCATGAAATGAAATGAATTTTCCCTTAGCTGGGTGGAAACATTTAGCTCCCTTGGATGTTCTTGAGGAGGTAAACGAGGATCACCAGGAAATCTCACAACTATAAGCAAAATCTGGCAGTTTAAAAAAAAAAATCCAGAAGAAAGTTGGGGACTTATTTTTTTGTCTGTCACCTGTGTTAAAATCTTATGTCTATCATTTTTGGCCCAGCAAAAACATAACCAGTTACTAGTGTCCTTTATGATTGTGGCATGGTAAAATCTAGTACTAGTGCATAAATTTTAGGAGGTCACTCTCAATCATCAATCAATAAAGCTAACTTTAACCTATTTGGTGTGTAAGGGGAACACAAGGCAGCCAAAATAAACAGATGCCATTGATTGGTGGGCAAGAACTTTCAGCTGGCAAAAAAGGAATGAGAGCTCAAGGCTATGGCATACCCTTATTACTTAAAAAAATTAAATTGAGGTGCTCGTGAAATCTGTAGGACTTCAGTGGGACTCAGAGGAATTCTTAGCTTAATTTTATTTTTATCTCCTGGATAAATCTACCTGAAGTACAACTCTGTGTGCAAACCTCAGTGTGAAAAAGGATGTGATCCATCTAAACAAATCTGGGGAATCTGTTGAGCAGGTGTTGGAAATCCAGCAATAACAGGGACCACAATAGCCACCCAGACTGCAATGTTTCCATTCCTATTTCAGTGAGCAGTTCCAGTTAGTGCTGCAGAGATCAGATCAGTAACGACTCCCAGGTTAAGGTGCTGCTGAAGTCATCAGATCATATTGAGCATCTCTATAATGGTGATACTCAGTCCCAGCTAGAATGCTGTTAAAGTGCTGCCCTGGTGCCTAGAGGCTGTCAGGATTTCTATGGGTCAAAACAGGCTAAAGCTAAATTGAAGGAAAATAGAATAACTGTCAGCTAATCACATTCCTCCAATGGTGTCCAGTGAAGGAATGGCACTTGTCCATCCACAAATTGATATCCTTCTGGATCTGTGCTACTGTGAATGGACAAGTGGAGGTGATCAGGAGGATTTCCCTCTGGTTTCATTTGATTTGTCAGTTGTGGCCATTTCTGGAGTGGGAGCTTTGACTACAGTGACGCATGCTCTTGTGAAAGTTTTTGGCCTACTTGAGGCTGTCTTTGCAGACCATCTAGAAACTATAGGTACTGCAAAATGGACCCAACTATCCTGAACAATTTCCTTCCAGTTTCCAATTTTCCAATTTTCTGGGGAAGATGGTAGAGAAGTTAATTTGGCTTCAGTCCCAGAGGACCCTAGAGAAAACAGATTATTTCAGGATAGGTTTTGGTATAGAAGCAGTTTTTATCACATTTCTTAATGATCTGGGACAGAGGTGAGATAATTATTCCGCACTACTTTACTCTTCCTCAATGCTGCTTCTACTACTCCTTATGAGTCCCATTACTCCTACTCTTTGTGAGTGCTGCTAGAGAAAATTAACACTTTCTGGCTGCTTTATTCCTACACACAAACATGCATCTCAGTAATGGGTTTCAATTTTGGCCGCTACCGGTTTGCTCATGGGTGCGTGCAACACTTCTGCGCATGCACAGAAACATCTGAGCGGGTGAGTGGAGCCTCCCGCTGCTGCCACTACCAGTTTGCCTGATCCAGGGTGAACCAGTAGCAACCCACCACTGATACACCTTCTTCTCCACCCCCACCCCGCACAGCATTGCCATGCTGGATGCGGAGAGGGTTTAAAGCAGGGCTGTCAAACTCGCGGCCCACGGGGTGGATCCATCATGTGCTGGCCATGCCCATGCCAGTTTAGTGAAGGGGGAAAAAGTACCGATATGTCACGTGATGCTCAGTGGTGGGTTTCAAAAATTTTTACTACTGATTCTGTGGGTGTGGCTTGGTGGATGTGGCATGGCTTGGTGGGCGTGGCTTGGTGGGCATGGCAGGGGAAGGATACTGTAAAATCTCCATTCCCACCCCACTCCAGGGGAAGGTTACTGCGAAATCCCCATTTTCTCCCAATCAGATGGGACTTGGGAGGCAGAGAATAGATGGAGGTGGGGCCAGTCAGAATTTTTACTACCGGTTCTCCGAACTACTCAAAATTTCTGCTACCGGTTCTCCAGAACTGATCAGAACCTGCTGAAACCCATCTCTGGTGACGCTGCTGCAACGACTCGCATTTGGGACCCTTGGTTTAAAGAGACAAAATTACAGCATCCCAGTTGCTGGCTATTTTCTGGGCACATGTTGCATGATTTAGGAACAGTGCCTTCTCGGTCATGGCTCTTGCCTTGAGGAAAAATGCCCCCTATAAATTTATAACACTCCCACTCAACATTGAACAAACTGCATAAAATTTGGTTGTTCTCTCATGCCTTGGATTAGGATGGTGGTTGAGCTCCTTTGATTTGGTTTTTTGTTCTTAGGTATTTTGGGTTTTGTCTTCTGGTTCTCTTGTTTTTAGTTTTATTTTTTATGTGTAAGCTGCCTTGAATCCTTGTGGAGTTAGGTGGCCCTGAAATAGAAATAAAAATAAGCAAAAGTAAAAAATATAGCGGCTCATTTGTTGATTGGCACTAGATGCTATGATGACATTAGTCTAATCTTGTTGGTTTTGCACTATTCCTAATAGGATTTGGCTGCAATTCAGAGGAGTAGTTTTGATTTATTATGGATTCTAATACATGGGTTCAAGGCACTTGTATAACCACTTACTCAACCAGTGATTATCCATTCAAAGAGCTCCTCCCAGGGAAGCATCTGAAAGTGTCCTGTTTTTGTGAGATGAGGGAGGCTGAGATGAGAAAGCCATTGGACTCAATGGAACAAAATAATTTTAATAACTGTTGTAGATTTTGGATGGAAACAGAATTTCAGAATTGATAGTTAATACAACTCGGAGTTCTTACTTCTCTTCCCTGCTTTCACAAATGGCTAATTTGAAAACGCTGCAGCAATGACAACTTGTTTAAATGTAAACCAGTGTAAATATGCTGCATACTGTTTGTCAATGCTAATGTCTGTCCCATCTGCAGGTTAGACCATCTCCAGATTGTTTAGCAAAAGAAAAGTTACAGAGGCTTGGAGTTGACAGGTTCAGATGGCATAAGCCTTATAAGAAAAGACAGATTCAGTTTGGGTTATTTATTCATGCTTCCACATTTTACCAATTATGTTTTTGGGTTGTTGTTTTTTTCTCTGACCAATTTTACATATGGAAAAGAATCCAGTGTGATATTCCAGGTGATACCAACTCAGGCTGACTCGGCTTTTAGACTTCAGTTAGCAAGCCATTCCTTGCTCGGGCCAACTCTTAGATCATCCAACAGCTTGCACATGTTAGTTGCAGCACCTTGCTGCTTATGTAACTTTTCAAATAGGCTGACTTCCTCTAAACACATTGTTTAATCTGCTTCTTTTAAGACACGGCTGCCAAATCAAATAATAGTATGCTGAGGAGCTGCCTGGAAGGAAAAGTCAGTGAATGGATATCAAACTCCAACGCCCCTAATGAGGAGAAAAATGTGCAATTGTTCTGTTCTTTTTCATTGTCACGTCATGGCCCAAGCTGAAATAGACCATGCCCAGAGAAATTATTCCCTTTCACAGAGGAAAGAAGATAGCAAAAGAAGTTTTACTTCTATCTTTTAGATAAATAATACAATAAGTCATGTTGTAAATCTTCTGCACCAGCTTTTTCCAAGCTAGGATAGGCAAGGATCCAGAGCGCAGGTGGTGATGCTAGCCTTTCTCATCATTGTGCTCCTAACCCCAGATGGTCAACTGGCATTGATCCAAATAAATATGGATCTTCTTTTTTAAGTTAAGCATTATATATTTTAGTTCAATATTCCTGCATGTGGACGTTCTCCTGAATAGAAATCACTCACACAGAATCAATTCCAACTTGGAAGTTGGAACTGTCAGTCCCTGGAGAAGAACTATCCTCTGTCAGCATCCTTGCTACCCCACCAGAAATTGTCAGTGGAGCTGCATTAATTTTCTTGCAACTCTTAATTTTCAATTATACTGCCTCTTTTTCCTTATGCAAAACCTGTACTTAAAGAACATGGCCATTAAACAATAAATGAAATTAAATCTGTTAGAAAGCTACAGAATAAAGGATAGAGTAACTGAGTCAGATGTCCTTCCCCAAACAAGAAACAAGATATTTAAGACCAGCACAATTAAAGATTGTGCGTTGCTACAAGTTCGTCAGCTTTGGCTTTAGTTTCAAAAGGAACACTGCAGTAAGATTTTTTAGAACCTTTCTTCTGGAGCTCTAAGGGAGGTGATTTCTTATTGGATAAAACCATCACCTCATCCTCCTTTCTGGTGCCCTGGATTTCTCTTTCCCACAAGGAACCACTCCACTGTGAAACTGCGGTGCTTCCCTTCATAGTTTCTTGATGCTCTGAACTGGTGTGTGTGTATGTGTATTAATTTCAGTATAAATAATTGTTTGCCTGTGGGGGTGGGCTGGGGGCTTTAATCATTGCCCAGGACTGGCTAGCTAAGAGGGATTTTGTTGAAGGTACTGTACTACTGTACGTAGTAAAGCAACTTTAGGAGGCAAAGTTAGTGGGTTAATTAAATTAAATTAAATTAAAGATATGAAAGGCCTCTAAGAATACATTCTCTTGAAGTTCTGCTTATATGTGGGTTGTGTTTGAACCAGGAATTAATCTGAAAGCAGATCATTTCTGTTCTGGCAGTTAAGAGCCAGAAGCACATGGCCACCCAAAATAAGCCCCCATTAGAAATACAACCTAAGCACACTCATACATCAAGATTCCTATACAGTGGGATTCTTGTTTGTGGGTAAGCCAGCTACACTGTGCATGTTTCAAGTTGTTTATTATTATTATTATTATTATTATTATTATTATTATTATTATTATTATTATTTAATCTTTAGTGAGATTCACAGCCTTTGAGGCTGGTTAATAGCTCAGCAGCTCGAGTCCTAACCAAGGACCTAGGAACTGTTAAGGTATCATCGGAGGATGTAAGCTGTTCCGAGTAGGGTGGTTTTTTGTAGAGTCAAAATGTTCAAGTCCGGCAAATTTAGAATTTCTAAATAGCGGGGTAGCCCTTTGGGTATTGCTCCAAGGGCTCCAATTATAATCGGGACAACACACGATTTCTTTTTCCACAGTCGCTCAACTTCAATTTGCAAATCCTGGTACTTTGTGATTTTTTCTTGCTGCTTATCTTCAATCTGTGCATCACCAGGTATTGCAATGTCAATGAACCATACTTTTTTCTTTTCAACTATTGTTATGTCAGGTGTGTTGTGGACCAAGTGCCTGTCAGTCTGAATCCTAAAGTCCCACAAGATCTAGAGTTTCTCATTCTCTAAAACTTTCTCAACCTGATGTTCCCTGTGGTTTTTGCTGTACTCAAATCCAAACTTCTGGCACAATTTCCAGTGAATGATCTTAGCAACACGGTCATGGCGTTGTAGGTAGTCAGTTTGTGAAATTTTGCTGCACCCACTGATCAGGTGGTCAACTGTCTCCTCTTTCTCATTGCAGAGGTGGCATTTGCTGTTGGTGGTAACATGTTGAATTTTTGCCTTCATGCAGTTTGTGGCTAGGGCTTGTTCTTGAGCTGCCAAAATAAAGCTTTCTGTTTCTTTTTTCAGTACTCCTGATCTTAACCAGTTCCAAGTTAGTTTCTGGTCAGCTTTGTCTTCAATACTTTTCAAGTATTGGCCATGCAGAGCTTTGTGTTTCCAATTTTCAGTTCGCTGCTCAGTTACTTCTTTCTTATATTCTGCTTTTGTTTTAGTTGTCTTTAAAAGGCCTCCTTTATTTACTTCCTTAATCATTGGTTCTTCACTTTTCTGGATGTAATCATTCAAGCTGCATTTTTCTTCTTCCACAGTCTGCTTTACTTGTAGGAGTCCTCGACCACCCTCTGCTCTTGGTAAATATAATCGGTCAACATCACTTTTAGGGTGCAAGGCATGATTCATTGTCATAAGCTTCCTTGTTTTTCTGTCCAAATTGTCTAACTCCATCTGGGTCCAGTCAATTATTCCTGCAGAGTATCTAATCACAGGTATAGCCCAGGTATTTATGGCTTTTATGATGTTTCCTCCACTCAATTTGGACATTAATATCTTACGAATTCGCCAAATGTATTTGGCTGAAGTTAATTCCTTGACTTTATTATGCATTATTATTATTATTATTATTATTATTATTATTATTATTATTATTATTTCATTTAAATATATTGACTGCCCAAGTCTAATAATCTGGGTCGGTTTGGAAGAATTCCTTCAGACATCACAAGAGTATAACTATTTTCTGCTCTTCATTAAAGCAGCCTATAGTTTTTCCAGGTTCTATGCAAGTTCGGGGGTGAAGAAGGGATGCCAATGTTTTAAGGATGTCCCAAAGGTGCTTTGCAAAAGGCAGCTGGACTTTCTTGATTTTTTTTCCCTTGAAGATGCCTTTTGAAAAGCACCTTTGGGACAACCATGACCTGGATGATTGAGAAACTCTATAGAAAGAGTTTTAAGGAATTATTCATTGAAGTTAGCATGTTTATTAAAGCAGCAGCATTTTTTTGAGCCCGCACAGAAATCTAAAAAAGTTGCTTTGAAGAATAACAAAGCATGCATGGTTTGAAGTATATTTTTTTGAAATCTTTTTAAAAGAGTGCATAGTTCTACAAGCTGATTAATGTGTGATCATATTTTAAGGCTATTGTATCTGGAATGCAAGAGTCTGAAAAATAACAAGAAAGTGGGGAAAGGAGCAATTTTTTGGCATTTCTGTCATTTGTCTCTACTGGTCATCTGGACTTTTGCAATCCAAATCTGGAACCCCTATTATCCCTGCAAAATGTCTACCTTGAAGCCACTTGCATCATATGAATGGACAGTTTTTGGAGACCATTATGATTTAAGCAAGGATAGCAGGGAACTGGATTTATAAAATGTCCCCATGTGGGCATTCTTCTTTGACCAATATAATAGCTCAATCCATGCGTGTTTTCCCAGAAATGCATTGCCAGGAGTTTTACTGGACAAATTTCCAAGAAAATAGTGAAAGCTTCCATGGCATTGACTGTAGCAGCTTTTAAAAAGTGCCCCAGTTTCTTTGGAAATCCCCTCTAAGTATAAGAATGACTTGCCACCATTTGAACAGAATTCAAGAAGTAGTTGAAATAGGAATAAAATGGAAGGGGAAACATTGCACAAACCTGCCATCTTTCTACCTGTGCTGGAAGAGTGCACTGCAAAGCTCATAACTGAATGCCAGTCTCCCGTTTCTGTTTCCTCTGCAAGTCTGATGTAGCAACTTTGTGATGATCATTTCTTCACCCTTAAAACAAACATGCTTGGTCATGCTGTTTCAGTGCGCAGCAGAAGTGCAAATTGCAAAAATAATTGTAATGCGTAAAAATTTCAATACACAAACTCTCCCTCTAGAGTTTTGACATGGAGAGAAAAGAATATTGGAAATGGGATGAATTTTCTTTTCTCTCTCCCACTCCTTTTCTTCTTCTGCCACACTTAGTAGAAGGCAGAACAGCTTTTTGGGTTGATGTGGAAAAATAGGCTTCCTATTTAGGCAATATTCAACAGTCCATGTAAGCAGATGATATGAGATTTAAGGCTGTGAGCCACTAGTGTATAATGAGAAAAAAGGAAGAACCAAATGGATCTTTCCTTTTAAAGGTATAACAATCCTTTCTCGACCAGGGGTGAAATCCAGCAGGTTCTAACAGGTTCTGGAGAACCGGTAGCGGAAATTTTGAGTAGTTCAGAGAACCAGCAAATACCACCTCTGGCTGGACCCAAAGTGGGGTGGGAATGGAGATTTTGCAATATCCTTCCCCCAGGAGGGGAGGGAATGGAGATTTTGCAGTATCCTTCCACTGCCACGCGCACCAAGCCACACCCACAGAACCGGTAGGGGAAAATTTTGGATTTCACCCCTGTTCTCAACCAATATAATTTGTGAGAAACCAATAAAGACCTTCTCTGGAAAACTAGCTCTGCAAGAGAGCTATTTAGTGTGAGCTTTAGCCATTTTATCCCCCTGGAAGCCTTCCCATTTATTTTAATTATTGCTTGTTACTTTCTCACGTTGATGCAGCTCTTATCGACAGGAGGACAATAATGAATAATTCTATAAAAAGGCAGTTAGCTCATTTTCTCACAACAGGATTGAATTAGTGAAAGTTGAAGCCTATGAATGATGGCGATTGTTTTTATATGCAACCCACTCCGAGCTTGTCCAAGGTGACCGATCAAACTTGTTTTAAGCTTTCAGGCTACATTTGGGGCAGACTTCCACCCAAAGAATCACTCCTGGCCTCATTTTTCTCCCTGAACCTTAAACTTTCTTCAGACACTCTGTAACAAATTTTGACCTATGGGCAGGCAACTCAGGAAAGACCAAAAAAAAATCATTTTTAAAAATATTTATATATTTTTTTTAAAAAAAAAAATCAAATTTTAAGTAATCCAAAACATCTTTTTCAGTTTGGGGATGCAATTGCATGCCACTCTAAATGTAGGGCTGAAATCAATCTTTCTCAGAAGTCTGTGAAATGTATAACTTTTTCCATTCTGTCCCATGTTTCCATCATTCCACAGCATCATGGGGAATGGTCAACCATTGAGAGACACATTTTGGAATATATTGTTCCAAACTGTTTTCTTTTTCCTTTTCTTCTTTTCTTTTCCCTTTTTACCTTGGAGTATGCATAGAGAAAAAGAAAGAAATCTCAAAAAAATGTTTCCAAGAAAATGTCTTGAGAAATATCCACTATGCATAAGTGAAGTCGCAATCCATGATACATTTTGCTAGAGGATTTTAATTTGTGAAAATAAAAAAACGAAGCTATAATGCATAATATGTACCTAGTGCCTACAATGTTATGTTGTCATTTTGCATGCTTCATTGTGTTTTTGAACCTTCAGGAAAGTGTGTATTGCTGCTTAGAGGTTTAGTGTTGTATTAGTTAATGGAAATGGTAAGCAGCTCATAAAGTTATCAACATGTTCTTGCTTCCCAAATCACTAGTAAAAGTTAATACATGCAAATTATATAAATGTACACATGAAAGCATGTCCATGCAAACAAAAAATATTTACTGGCCTTTCTTTCATCATTTTGTTTTTTAGGAGATTGGTATATTCTTTGTATAGCAAAACTTACTATTACAACTGCCAATCACTGAAATATATAGTGACTATGACCAGCTGTATCTCACAGGATCTTGAATCAATAACAAGACTGAAATAAAAGAAATCTAGTTCCTTGTGAAATGTCCCTCTTTTCACTATTTCTCATGGGACTAAGTGTGCTTTTAAATCTACTTACAAAATAATGATAGAAACTGGGAAAGCCTGACAGTTTCCATGTTAGATGAGTATGTATTTAAACAGATCATTGAAGCATGAACGTTTTTCTGTCTTCTCCTTCTTCCCCTTCATATGAATTGACTTCACAGTAGAACCATCCCATTCATATTCTCAACTGTGCTGAAAATGCCATATTTTAATTGCTTTTGAGATAATTAAAAGTAGAGCTTATGTAGAACCCTTGTTGCTCAAGAAATAGTTGAGAGAGAGAGAAAGCACAACTGATACATCTCTGAGTTTTGTCATAATTTCATTCTACCAATATCATTTCTTGTAATCCAGGAATGTAACATATAGGACAGATGCCCACATTGCAATCAGTGGTGGGTTGCTCCCGGTTCTGTCCGGTTCTTGCGAACCGGTAGTAAAAGCGGCAGGAGGCTCCGCCCACCCATCCGGACATTATAATAGATGATCTGCGCATGTGCAGAAGCTTCTATTGCTTCTGCAAACTGGTAGTAAAGGTAAGTAGACCTACCCCTGATTGCAATGTATTTCTACACCAAATAACTTAATCCAGTTCTGTTTTCTAATGTCTACTTGATGGATGCAAAAGTATTTTCTGCCTCAATCCAGTCTGCAACTTTTCAATTTAAGTGTAAATTTAATAAACTGATGATTGATCAGTATTAGACAAACCTTTCTTGCCTCCTTTAAAAGGTTACCAATATTTTGGAAGTCTGGCTGTTTGATCTATAAAAGTAAATAATAAGGCCAAAATTGAGATCTACCAATCCAGATCAAATCTATTTCTACTACATCTCCAGATTTGAACTGATCAGTCAATTTGGCAATTGTTGAAACTAACACCAGTGGCAGAATGAGATCTAAAACTCTTTTCTGGGATGACAGCTATTTCAGCCTCCTCATCTTAAAACTCATGGGGAAAAAAATATTCCATCTTCTGTGAATGTGACATTCCAACTATGAAGGAGCTATATGCAAGTGGGCAGACCCAAGTTGTTTATATGGGAAATGTCTTCTTTATAAAAGTACCTCCACTAACTTGTCCAGGGATATAAATATCATTATAACATCTAATATATGGCATGAGCTAAATTATTTGTCATGCTATTCGAAATTAAACAGCTTTGAGAGAAGTATTTTTATTCCATCACTATCAAGGATGCTTAGAAGAGCCGAGGTGGCGCAGTGGTTAGGGTGCAGTACTGCAGCTACTTCAGCTGACTGCTAGTTCAACAGATCAGCAGATCAAATCTCACTGGCTCAAGGTTGACTCAGTTTTTCATCCTTCCGAGGTGAGTAAAATGAGGACCCAGATTGTTAATATGCTATTTAGTATACTGTCTTTGGTGTAAGCCACCCAGAGTCCTTGGAGAGTGGCCGGCATAGAAATATGAATAATAAATAGAATTGTCAGGTTTACAAAACTCTTTTTGTTTCTATCAATATTTCATACAAATGAGGGCTTTCCAGTTTGTATTTAAGTATTTGTATGAACCTCAGTAATAATTGATAGGGTGTATATTCTAGCCAATCAAATGACTTAGACTTCTGTATTGATGAAACTGATAAAACCATTAATTCTACCTCTACATTGACCCTGTAATATCCACCTTTACATGGGAAACAATCATATCAGAACAAGATTTTTCCTTGTTCCTTATAGTCCTTTGGATTGTAAATATGGTAATTTATGGAAAGCAGTCCAAAACATAAGGAAGGCACTGCCCTATTCCTTCCTCTGGCTACTTCTCTATTGTATACCTCAGATCAATTTCCTCATCTGGGATCTAATTCTCAGGCCATTTTTTTTTCATTAACAGACTTGGCAGTCAATAGCACCACATTTAGATTAAGATGTCTACTCTCACAAAGGAAAAAAGGGAGGAAACCACCACAGTTCATCCTTCTGTTCCTCTCTTGTAACAAACAGACTACCTCATCTGCTTACACTATTTCCTCCAAAATAAGACATCCCCTGATAATAAACCCAATCGGGCTTTTGAGCACATGGCAATAAAGCCAAGCCCTTATTTCAGAGTTTAAAAAAATAAGACAGGGTCTTATTTTCAGGGAAACACGGTACAATGACCACATTATACCTATAGTAGACAATAACCACTCAATATTTAATGCTTTCAACTACTGCACACACAATTTAATCCATACAGACACACATAATCCATACAGAAAAAAATATAATGTGATGCAATCCATCTACTATAATCAGCACACAATAAATGATGACTCAAGTTTAGGAAAAATCATGAATGAAGTGAAATTAAAGATTCTGCATTTTCACTCTAACTCAATCTTTCTAATCTCGTATTCTATGGACAGCGGGAGAATTCTAACCCCATCCTTGCAAGAATTCACTTTGGATTGTACTTGACAGGATGACATCATCTTCCCTAGAAAGAATGGGAGCAGTTTCTAACAGTGATCCTACTTTATATGCATAAGTTCTTTCCATTTGCAAATTCATTTGTGACCTCGTAGGGGTTCCTTACCCAGAGTTGCAGAACACCTGCCTTCATATGATCTAGTCAATTTTGATTAGCAGTTGAATGTTCAAAATTTTGGGCTGACAAAACCCCAAAAATAAAACAGAAGACAGTTATCTGGACAATTAAACTGAAGTGTGAATGAGTTACATTTTGGACAAAATCAAAAGACAAAGTTGAAATCTTGGAAATGCTGTCAGAATAGATAGAGTAGTCTTCCTTTTCTCTATTATATATCTCATTTTGTGTAAGTTTCTCACAAGTAGATGACACTTACAAAAAGCAAAAGGATATTAGAAAGTCTATAAAAAGACAGTGGATATTAGACACACTCTCCAAGGAAGATAGCACAATTGAGCATCCAATCCCTACAGAAGTTACAGAGTCAAAGGGGGTTCAGTAAATAGCCAACTTTATATTGCTGTGAAATTGGGTAGTGAAAGTACCTTAAGCCACTAGTGGAGCAGTGACTCCACTGTAT